CAGAATCAGCTGGAACCTTGCTCATTCAAAAAAAAAAAACAAAGACAGATGACAACCACACATTAAGGACAAATTTTGGCTAACGTATAGCAAGATACTATAACCCATACGGATATGGCCCCTCACAGCCAATTACCAGCTGCTTTGGTCCCAATGTGAAGTGATGCCTGGACTCTCTGGGTACTTTTGAGAAATACAAAGATACTTAATTCGTGCCTCCCTGTTCGTCATCTGGAGAAAAAGATTTCTTTTCTCAATCATTTTACATGACTCTCAAGCGCCGAACTCTCTAAATTATGTCTTAAAGTCTGGACAATTTAATATGCCGTAAGTAATGCGTTCAGAGGACTCAGAGAAATGAATAAAAGAACGATCGTCCTGCGATATGCACCATATTAATTTTATTAGACCATATCATGAACGATATGATTCGTCATCCAATGTCATTTCATCGAAAAAATTAAAAAGTAATTTATAATTTGTATTTTCATTTCAATTTATCATTTAAATGCAGCGTCGAAGAGGCAAATGAAATCATCAGGAAGAAAGAAAGAAGATGCGGAGCTTAAACAATGAAGGAAAGTTGAATTAAAGGTGATGAAAATGACAATGCATAATTTATGCTGGATGATATTCCTGAGCTCAATGGATTCTTCCTATTCCGAAATGGCTAACCCAAGTTCCATGGGGAACAGACAGGAGTCATTCCATACCAGGAGCTAATTATGAATCATTTCATTTAGTGGGATGATTCACTGTTGTACAAAGGAAATGGGCCAAGCGTGCTTTGAAGAGACAGTGAGAGATGAAAGGGAAAGAAGTCGTTAACCAAAGGACTCGTAATGAGTGCAAGGGGAAGAGGTGGAAAGGAAGCCGGAAGTAGGGGAGATGGATATCTGCATGGAAGGGGGAGAGCCAAGGTCGACCGTTGGAGGAAAAAAAGGGTATAAAAGCTGTTCCAAGAAGAAATCCTGAGTAGTCCTGACATGGTCTCATACATCACCGGTTTGCCTTCCTGCACGACCACGGTAAGTCCTTGCCCATTTCATTCATTGTAAATGTTGAGAGTATGTTCTCCGTTGAAGGAATTGTGGCGAATGCCCGTAGTTCAAATTGGCAGGTGAATGGAACCAGCGCAAAATTTTGTGCCAGAATCTCTGGTGCCACGAATGCAATCGCTAACTGTGGAGAGGATCAAGAACTAAGGACCCTGTCGGTGGTTCCATCTCTGGAGGGGATCAAGAACAAAGCACCCTGTCGGTGGCGCCATCTCAGGAGAGGATCAAGAACTAAGTACCCTGGCTCTGGCGCCATCTCTGGAGAGGATCAAGAACTAAGGACCCTGTCGGTGGCGCCATCTCTGGAGAGGATCAAGAACTAAGCACCCTGTCGGTGGCGCCACCTCTGGAGGGGACAAAGAACTAGGGCCCGTGTCGATGGCGCCATCTCTGGAGGGGATCAGGAACTAAGCACCCTGTCGGTGGCGCCATCTCTGGAGGGGATGAAGCACTAAGCACCCTGTCAGTGGCGCCATCTTTGGAGGGGATCAAGAACTAAGCACCCTGGCTGTGGCCAGGGGCTCTGTAAGGGATCGGTGGCGATAACATATGATGTCCACATGTCTTCCACATGACTGCTTGAGGTAGCTAGAAATTATTTTCTTAAACAAACAAATATTCCTGTTCACGAATCACTAGGCCTGGCTCCTACTACCTGTTACCGTAAACGCCTTTTGTAACCAAAGACTGAGATCTGAAGCGAACCATTTCTTATTAAACGGAAGGGCTGAAATTTTCGTCACATCCTCACATCCAGCTTTTTAATTGGTAATTTCCCACTTATATGAATTGTTGTAGCTGGACCTGCCTCCTCCGAGAAACGCCTGTTCTAGATCTCAATATTTAACGAAATGGGAAATTGGACCCCATTGCCCCTCTCTCCCCCCCCCCCCCCCAATCCGAGTATGTTACCTTCCCTTTCCATGCCGATTTCTTCGTGTTCCAGCGTCGGAAAACTCCCTGTCTTACCGTTTATGTCGGTCGTTAGACAAATGATTTCTTTGCAAACTACGATTACCAAAGCCTAGGTGTTCCCAATGTCCGAGGCAATATGTGCTGGGTTGGACATTCTTCGCTTCTGGTCGTTTGTCCTGGTTATGGTCTAATAAAGACGCTTTACTTTTAATCCGTGTCTCTTTTGGAACGGTCTTCTACTGGAACGGTTTTCGCGAAGGGCATGCGTTCGTATCTTTCCAACAGCCCCTCGAAATATAAGGAACTTGCCGACCCGTGGAAGACTTACACGAACTCTTCGATTAGAAATCCCGAGTTCATTCGGCGGCCATAAAACTCGGTGGCTCTTTCATCGCTAGAGGCAGCAGCCCTTTTTTCCAATTCTTTACGTGTCCTCACGTAAAACCCGTGGAGTCCCCTTTATCCCATTGAAGGGAGGATGACTTCCTCGCCGGGCACCAATCGTACAATGACTTTCCTATTTTCAAGACTGTTGCGAATGTCGGAGAGAAAGTGCGAGCGTGAGACGATCATCCCAATCCGCGAATGTCTTTCAAGAATTGTTTCTCGGGAATTCCCGAGCTCAGTCAGCAGCCCTGCTCAGTCCGGCCTGCAAAGTCTCTTCAAAACCTTTGGTTTTGAAGAAGCGTAGACTATTTCAACCTGCTAGCAATTGAAACTTTGGTGCAGCTCCAAATTTCTCTGACGACAATGAGAATTTAGGTTACTTTTCGCATTCTCTTCTGCTTGGATCGAGTGAATTTTCCTTCTGAACGCACGCAATGGTATTTCAAAGCTGAAATAGTTCCTCATCGACGGCTCTGTTTATTTTGTTGACGGTTCTTCATATATCTTCACCCCTTCGGTGAAGCGAACTCGTGTTTCCTTGCAGGGAAGATGCGTTTCTTGGCAGCAGCAGCAGCAGCAGCATGCCCACTCGCCATGGCACTTGCGGCAGATGCAGTGGGGATCCCCGCGTATCTGATCCGCGACGGGTTCCTCGGGGGCCCGGGATGCCTACAATTTCCGTCGACTGTTCATGTTCTGCCAAGCACCCGTAAACCCAAACGTTTGCAGAGACCACGGCTGCACGTCGATGAAGATCCCCGCACGGATCCCATACGATAGAGAACTCCACCGAAAAGTTGACCACCTCATCTCAGGGTAAAATAAAAGGCATGGATAGGCCCTTCCCCTTCCAGGAAGGTCCATTTTTGGGCACGCGAGCAGAAACCGTCTTAAAACGAATCGCGATGGACACTCAAATTATGTCAGAAACGGAGTCTGTCTCACTTGGCCTGAGATCTTTGTGAACATTTCGAAAATTCCCAAATTTTCAAGATGTTTATCGATAGAAATAAGCATGGTATAAGCACGTTTCGCGTTTATATCAAGCTTGCTCAATTCCCCATCGATTGGTCTGTCGAAAATTCTCATTTTTCATTCTCAAATTAGCTAATTAAAAGCTAATTAAAATTTGATCAGCCGTCTTGACTGTTCATTTCTTCCTAATTACAACCTCAATTTCAGCTTCTAACGCAAGGAACTCCAGTTTCCCCAAGAGGGGAGCACTTTTAAATATAAGTACCATAATTTCAATAATATACCGAACTCCTGTTCATAAGCAGTCTAGTTTTAATTGTTCGCATTCCTGAATTTGAAGTAGAAAGAAACGGATATTTCTTTTCTATCATCTGAAAAAACCCACTTATTAATCTTTACTTTAAAGTCATTTAAAACTTTTTTAAAACAAAAATTATCCATCATAGAGAGAACCCAGTCCTTTTTCGATCATGGTTTTCGATCATGGACATTGGTTTTATTTCATTTGGATTTAATAATGGAACTCATTATGCCAACTTGTGGTAGGAGCGCTGAATGTCTATAATCAATGAAAGCGTCGCCGTGTGTCAATGGGTTAGCTAAAGGGTTCTCTAATCGGGAGGTCCAGGTTCGAATCCGCCCGGCGGCAGGCGGTTTTCTCCTGGGCCGACATTCACTTTTTGGGTGCGACCCGCCCTCGCTTCGGCTGAGGCATGCGCCGGTCCGTGCTCCATTGAGCGAGAGGTGTGGGTCGTGTCGGAGGCCTTGGCGTACCGATATGCGGCGATGGAGGGCCTCAGAGTGGGGTATTATTAGGTGAAATAAATATACATTGGCTAAATGAGCAATTGCCTGGCTGGGGAATGAACTGCTCTTGTCCAAGGTACGCCGGAAGAGTATCAGAAGTTAATTGTTGATGATGATTACGGTGGTTTCGACCAGAATCAGCACCAACAAGTAACTTCTTTTATTCAATATAATAAAATGTGATTAATGTAAAAAGATACAATATTGATCAACACCTGTTTGCATCAAGCTGATGTTGGCTTCGCATCCCTAGTAGGCTGCAACCTGTTGAAATAGCCTATCCTCTTCTCCCCTTCATTGGGCATTTGGCAAGTTCACTTTGCATTGTAGCATCCTAGGAAAATTTGCTTGATATTTCTGCACGTCTATTACAGTCTTCAAAACCACGTTTCATGCAAAAAGTTCCTCCAGGTGTCCAATTTGGGCGGATTGTAAGTGTTGCGTGTGGGGACTTAATGTTATTAACCCGTGACGAGGATTGTTTTGAGACGAGGGTTCGGCACGGCAAACTCAGCAAGTAAACCCCGTGGTGGCTAAAAAAAAATAGATTTTACTAATTAATGATCCTGATAGGCCGATCACAATTCACACACACAATACACCTCACAAGGAGAAGAGCAGAGAGCACCAAAGGGATAAAAACCTATTGATTAGTTATTGAGTATACGAGCATATCAAAGCCAGTACATCATTATCAGCATTATCGTCTCCAATCTTTATTATATTAATTATCTTCCACGTTCTCTTACAGCATTTTTCAAGAAGCTTTCAGCAAAACAACGCTCAATATTTATTCTTTTCGATTGCATGGAGCAATCTTCAAATCGATTTTTTAATAAAAGCGATTCATTTGATGCCAATTTTTTAATGATATACCATGCACTCCAATTGAATAAATTATTTAGAGGGAACATCGAGAAGCTGCAGCTCATTGTCACGATTATCCACGTCATTGGACGACAAGGGGGCTCCTTTCGCGAATGCCAGCTGATTCGCGTAGAATCTCTCGGTCGGGGTGGTGAGGACTCTCCATCTCTGTGAGGAAAGGACATGCAAGGTCAACTAAGAAGGGTCAGCATTTCCTTTCTTGGTTCCAACAAGTTTTTTTCTGATGACACATCTAAGGAGATAAACACCTTGACTTGAGTTGAATTTTTGCACAATTTCAGGATTTCATGAAAATGCAAAGCATCCAAGAAGTGCCTCATGGATATTTCTCTCAATGTTACATTGGCCCATAATTTACTTTCAAAAACTTGCCAAAAATTTCTTAAAGTGCGGGCGTTTTAACCAATAGAGACTCATCTCTTTGAGTCATGCATTATTTTTCAATAAACATTTTTTTTAAGAATCTGGTTTTCATTTACTCATCCAAAACCAAGCGAAGGTCGTATTCGCCAACCTGTCTCCACGGTACATGCCGAAACCCCCAGAAGGTCTGGTAGAAAGCAGCGAAGGGAATGGCAGAGACGGTGAGGAAGGCCGTGAACCAGCCGAGTACGCGGGCGAAGGCTGGGTATTCGTAGCCTGCGATTACGAGGGGATTCACGTAGCTGCACGACCAGATGAAGATCCCCTGCAGGAGGATTCAACCATTCAGAAGTCGATCTCAGGATGAATGCAAACTCAACCCATAGAATATCGGCAGATAATGGACAAAAGATTAAGAAAGCTTACCACCAGGATGGATGGAATGATGGCGGTGTAGAGAGTCACTAGATAGCTTTTCAGCGTGAGACCAGGATTGAATCCAGTCATCGCTTTCAAAGCTAAAAACCAGAGACCCAAAACCAAATCATCTCATTTCATCGATGCTAACGACGAAAAAGCGAATATAGTATTTCTAAATTTTAAAGAAGAATTCGTTCAGTTTGGGACTGAGGTGCGAGGAATTCTGAATATTCCGCTTTCCAGAGTCTCATCCGTTTAATGGAAAGGTGAACATTTCTTCATGCTAAATTTATTACAGCGTGGAAAAATAGCGACCTTTTTTGTTTTTGGAAGTGTTCAAAATCCCATATAACCCATTCGTCAGATGATCAGGAATATCACTGTCTGTCATGAAGTTATCGGTCGTCCGATCGGGCGTTCCCTTCCAATATTCAAAAACCATTATTCCATTGCCATTATTCTGTATTAGCTTCATACTCGCACATCGAACTTCAGAAAAATGCGGAGGTTTCAAACAAACCCTTTTGTGCTTCGGCAGAAGGGTTTTATTCAGCTTCTAATTTTGCAAGTCAGGTTTTGAAATGGCCGTCCCAGAAAACTGATGATGTTAATTGATAATTTTTCAGTTGGGTAGTGCGTGTCTTGCATGTGACTATCTTGTGCTTTGCAGCATTGCTCATCAATATAATATCCATATTATATATACTACAAATATGGCTCACACTTTTCACGCAATTTATCTCTCAATTACACATCCGCACATTGTTAATTTTGGGATTTAGAACCATGGAACTCACCTGACAGAAAGTTTTCGATGCCAAAGCAGTACATGACAGCCCAGAGCATAACCATTTGCGTGAAGAGTTGCCTCGGAGCTGTGGCGTAGTAATCCATGAAGTTCATGATGTACGTCGCACCCTGAATAAATTGGGAAACGACGAGTGATCTTATGAATGGTGGTGAAACATTTTTTGGACGAAGAAAAATGATTTTCCTTCAACCTGAAACACGTGTTGAATATCTCTCTTAATCCTGGTCAACTTCAGCTCAGTCGATTGCAACACTGTTTAACTACTCCTTGCAACCCTATCTGTCTCTTTTTATTCTTTTTTCTCATGACAGAGCGACCGTGCTCTCAATTGCGAAGAAAAAATGGGATGGATTCAACGTTACGCTTTCCAAGATGTGAGGAAAATGGAAGGACTCACTCCGGTTGCGAAGATGAGGCCGACAAGGAAGAGGCAGCAGCAACAGCACAGAACCAATCGGGTCTGGCACTTTCGCAGTCGAGGGAACTGATCCTGTATGGTGGGCGGAAATTTTAGTTTCATCTTTCGTGTCTACTGAATAAGATGCATTGAAAAATTAGATCTACTTACGACCAGTACATGTGAATAAAAAGTGTTCAAAGTCACAGGCCAAGAAGATGAAAGAGCTCGAGTCGCAATGGCTGAGGTTCCATAAAAGTCGGACTCTTTTTGTGCACAGGACAGGTTTTATAAAGGGTGCTCTCAATGCTTTCAGCGGGTGGAACAAATGTTCGCTATCACACCAACATGATATTACTTATTTAAATTGATGCACAAACACGATACAGAAGCTCACAATAAAAGGAACACCTCTAAGAATGTTACCCTTATAGAGATGAAAAAGGAGAAATCCGAATTGACTTGCCATGATATGACTAGAAACATTTTCGACGATGCCGAATGAGGAGTCGAGGCCCAGGGTGATGAGCATCAAGAAAAAGAGGATGGCCCAGAGATTTGGGAACGGGAGTTGCGAAATGAGTTCTGGATATGCGATGAAAGCGAGGCTCGTACCGGCTCGTGCTACCTGCAATCTCCCAATATTTTTAAATTATCATTCGTCCATTCGAATTTTAATGACTAGGTTTCTCTGACTAAATAAAAGTCGTGACCTCGTCGACGGGAACTTCCAACTGGTGCGCCATGAAGCCGAGAGTTGAAAAGATGGCGAAGCCTCCAAAAATACTTGTTAAACTGTTTCCCAAGCATATAATCCAAGTGTCCCTGCAAAATGATGGTGTCATATTTCACTCAATCGTTCCTTGTTGTACCACAATATTTAGATAAATACGCCTCATAGCCGCATAGCGATTCGCAGCTGAAATATAAAGTATAGCCTCGTGATTACCCCCTTCTTGCCTCCGTCACCACCAATCTCCATGCGATGTGGCGTTGTCAAAACCCGCTTCCGTCTTCTTGAAAATGCCCGGACTTAGAAAAAGTCAGCGAACGCTGTGTGAATGGTGAGGAGACGAATGAAACCCTCTCAAGGTGATCCGCTGGTTTAGGGGCGACCGAGGCAAAGCGGAAAGGTGAAGTGGTTTTCGACTCAAATTCGATTCATTAGGCAGCATTTACCTTGAGGTTTGTTCGACAGACCACACCCTCGTTATTGACAGCTGGGGACCTGTCTCGTTTGTGGGAACGGGCTTCTAGCGCTGATATGAAATCCGCAGTGTATTCTCTTACGGAAATGTCCTATAAGAAACCTATAGACTTTCCTATAGGTTTTTGAAACACGAAAAACCTATAGGATCCCTATAGGGTCTTATAGGTCTCCTGACCTATAGGATTCAGGGAGGGTTTTTTGGGTTTCGAAACCAAGGCATTACGACGGAAAAGGCGACCGGGGTTAATATTGGCGCAGCATTTTGGTGTAAATCAAATACGGATTAGGGGTTTTTCCATGGTAGGGACACTTAAGCAGCTTCAGCAGCACTGCAAAATGAGCTTCATCTGGGAGAGATCCTCACTTATCCGTCACTGCACCACGTATTGGCACATTTTTTGCCAACTTTCACCCAGCATGGCATACAATTAAGCCACGAAACTTTTCATTTCCACTGCTCCAGCATGGCGATGAGGTCATAGATGACCTGGTAACTTTTAAGTCTTGATAGCGAACTTCACAGCTTTGCAACAAAGACGCTTCCCGGTTGATTTTAGTTAACGCGACTGCGAAACGAAGACCTCGATCGCAACGGACCCACCTGATGAGGTTGTACTGAAAACGATTATAGGAAGCCAACGTGATGAGACCACCTCCGCCTACACTCAAGCTCATTAGGATCTGGGAAAGGGCTTGCTCCCAAACCTGCAGAAACAAAAAAGTATATGGTAAAAGCACCAGTTTGTGGACAGGTTAAGGAAATTTTCCTATTAAAATTGCGTTACGATCGTTGGTGTAACCGAGAAACTGCTTGATTGGTTTCAATGAGAGGCCATATCATAGCTTGATGCCCATATCCTAAAATAAAATATTAAAAATATGCTTTTCCAAAAATAGCTGCTTAAATGAACATGTGCTGACTTTCATCCCTTACGAAAATGTCTTATAGGATTCCTATATATTCCTAAAGGAATATATTGGAATCCTATAGGAATCCTATAGNACTGGTATTAATAATGCATGTGTCCCTACCATGGAAAAAGCCCTAATCGGTTTTTGATTTACACCGAAATGCTGCGCCATTATTAACCCCAGTCGCCTTTTCCGTCGTAATGCCTGGGTTTCGAAACCCAAAATATCCTCCCCGAATCCTATAGGTCAAGAGACCTATAAGACCCTATAGGGATCCAATAGGATCCTAAAGGATCCTATAGGTTTTTCGTTTTTCAAAAACCTATAGGAAAGTCTATAGGTTTCCTTTAAGAAATATCTATAGGTTTCCTATAGGACATTTCTGTAAGGGATGTGGTTCCTATTTGTGGACACCAGTTTTTGTCAACATTATGAACGTATGTAGGCCGAATAGAAAAATATGAGCATGAGACATGTACAACAATTATATTTATCTCCAATGATGTCCTGTTAAGAAACATCATTGGAAAAATTAAGGAATTCAGGGGTGCTAGGTCTAAAACTGAGCAAAAATGTCCAAGTTCACTCATGCTGATGGGTATGCATAATTTATATGGTGACTGACAGGCAAGTGCAAAATATGGAGCATTTAAGGAAATAAATTTGAGGTGTGAATTTTGTGAAATGGCAAAAAGCGCAAAACTGTCCACAAATAGGAACCCGACAACAAACTGTGTCTCTCCCCTGTATTAGTTATTTTCATTTGCCTCGAAAATTTCCAGTTTCCTGGCTTGAATGGCCATTAGCTTCTCGTAGCATCATTTTTTTTGGAAGAGAGAGAGAATTTTATTGATCCACAGTTGGCATTTGCCGTGAAATTATAAAAAACTCCTTCAAGTGTCAAATTAATGCATTGTCTAGATCAGGGGATCAGCAAATCCATCGCGAAAGAGACCTTTAGGAATCACGTAGAATTTCAATAGGGTTCCTATTGCAATTCTATGGGATCCGAAAGGATTTTGAAGCCTGAAAAACCCATAGGAATCCTGTAGGTCATGTGTCCCATAAAATCCCAATAGAAATTCTATTGGTTTTTCTGGTTTCAAGATCTCGTAGCATTCTCATGGGAAACATTTATAAGTTTACAATAGGAAAAGTCTATGACACTTTCATAAGGACTTGCATTTGAATATACATCTCAAGAGTATGGTAGAGTTAAATATGAATTCCGAACATAGCATACATGCACGGGAGAGGGGAATGCCTATTATTACCGCTCGATAGATGATACCATGCGCAAGCAATATGTCATTGCCCTTACGGAAATGTCCTATAGGAAACCTATAGTTATTTCTTATAGGA